GCTTCAGCAAACAGGGAGCTGTGTACTGGTACTTACATCCGAACCCATTTGCGTCATAACCATCCGACCTTCCATCATCGACTCGACATCCGAGCCGAAGCTCGAAGCCTTGCTTGCTCACCCAAGAGTCCTTTCTTCGCTTCTCATGTCCTTTTTTCCCTAGCCCCACCAGTTGCCAACAACAGGTGTAGGGCAAGATAGGGCAAGTAAAGTAGCACTTCATTCCGACTCGCCTAGGAAGCACCCGTGGTTCGAGGGCTACAACATGGATCGGCCCAGCAAGCAAGTCTGGCAGGCGCTTGAGCGCAGGGCTTGTCACTAAGCGGGGTAGGGCCAGGCTGGCTTCAGTTATGATGCAGTTTAACACTTGGCATTTGGGCCGGAGCCTTCATGCCCGTAAATCAAAAAGAATCACTCTTCCCGGGCCCATGCAAGTCTGCGACAGTTTTGATGTTGAGCGCTTCCAACAGCAAAGATCCCGAAACTGCTGCACCCGAGTTGCCCAATCCAATGGCGTCTTGCATTCACAACCAACTCGCCCAGACATCCTCATGTCCAATCTAGCTTGCTTCTTCATAATGAGAGGTGGAGAAGCTTATCCGGCACGTCAAGTGGCACGCCAGCACTTGAATTTCCTTTTCCGAGATTCCTGTCTTCTCAGCCCTCTTGAGATTGCCCTGCCAGCAAACCCTAAACCCCAAAACCCTAAACCCTCTAAACCCCCCCCCCCCCCCCCCCCCCCCCCCCCCCCCCCCGCCCCCCTAATTCTAACATTCGCCTCGGCCCGGAAAAATGTTTAAAAGTGGGGGGCCTAAACCCTAAAACCTGAAATCCGAAGCCTACATCCGCCTGAGGGAAAGAGAAAGACGCAGCATGGTGGCTGATCAGCCCATCTCATACCGAGAACCCTTTGTCCCTCATCGCTCCTTTGCCTTTCAATTGTCCTGCCAGGCTGGCATAGAATCACAGTTGGCCCCAGACGATTTATAGGCTTAACTCAATTTTCTTTTTTCCCTCTCTCTCGCTCTCTCTGTCTCTTTGGGGTGTTGGCTCCGTAAGGTGCGCCTGTGCTGCTGTGTGTGCCAAACATGGAAATGCCTTCGTCAGCCTCGTGTTTCTTTGTTTTCGGTCCAGGCCAGACATAAGCAAGCCTGATCTCGAGGGTTTCGGAGGAAGCCCCTAAACACAAGTCCGACACATCCCACGGACTAATGGGCTGGCAGTAGCACGATGCACGCAGTACCCTCAAGGCTTCCGTACCTGCCGCATTCAGACTGTGTGAGAGTCGAAGCCCCAAACAATGGCTCCAGGCTTTGGGGCAAGCCGCCCCACTGCCGGCAAAACCTCCCCGCCTCGAACCTCCTGGTATCCAAGCGCGGCGCTGTGTCGCCGGGCTTCTGCGCCTCGTCGCAAAGGGCTCAGGGTTCTCAGCTGCAACGCCACCGGTTGAAACTTTGGAGGTGTTGTGGTGCCGGCCGGAGCAGGTCGTATTTCTTGCGCGGCATGTCGTATGCACAGGCACCTACATGGGCGCGACCTCTGTGGACATCGACTTCGACTCTCGGCTGGAGTGTGCACTACTTCGCGAGGGGGGTGGGGGGGGGATTTGTTGAAAACATCTGACATTTAAGCCCCGTTGCATGTAAGACTTCTCACTTGGTGCAGAAGCAACTCCAAACCCCCACCAAGCCCACATTGCTTTTCTTGCTCCGTCACTTGTTTTGGGACACTTAGACTGCAGCATGGCCAGGAGGTGATCGGCAAGATTGAGGAGCAGCAGCGTCTTTACCGCACAGCTGTGGAAGAAGTTGCGGTTGCCAAGGCTTCAGGGCAAACTTCAGGGCAGAGGCGAGAGAATGCGAGGGACGCCGCGCAGATCTCAAGTTAAGGTCGGTACACGGGCATGGAGGGATCGTTTCTGCCGTGGGAAGTTGGACTCCAACTTTCTCCAAACCACGCCCAGGTACTGGGTGACGAAGTGCGTGCTGTCGCTCTGGGGCCGCGAGGAGCTTGCATAGTGGGATGGGGCCGTTGTTTGGGCAAGCGAGACAGTTTCCGGTAGTGCCAGCTTCTCCTGACAAGGATGAATGGGTGAATTGGTGTTGGGCATTTCCGGGCTGAAAGTATTCATCGAGTTCGGAGTAGGTAGATCGCCAGCTGTGACCTCACACGTTGCACACAGACACACCACAAAATACACAGCACTGCACTGACCGCACCACACAACAGGACACAGCACAGCACACTGCACACAGAATGCACAACACACAGAACTCAGCTCTTGGCGTCTTGGTTTCTTGGCCCTCGCGTCTTCTTTCTTGGTGCCCCAAAGCCTCTTGCGGGCGTCTTCTGCTGTGCTTTTGTATTTCCGAGGGCTGTTGCGGGAGAGGAACATCTTGGATGCTCTTGATGCGACCACCACCATGGATAGAATCTCGTCCCACTTCTCTCAGCAGTCACGTCTGGTTCGAGCTGTGAGTGCAAGACGTCAACTCCCGAAGACGTCTTCAAGACTTTTTGCGAAGCGGGAACCATCGAAGTACGTCGGCATGCACGCTATGTGTGCCCGAGGTGAAGCCTAGTGCAGCCAGCGGGGTGCTTCGGGCGTTTGGTGGGTGATGGTGGGGGCCCATTCTGGAGCTATGACTGCGTGATGGCGTTGAAGCATGTGGGGGCTGGTCTTGTGCGGCTAGCTTGGTGACAAGGGATTGCTTCAGTCATCATAAAACTTCGTTGTGGCTTCGAGTTCAAGCTCGAAGCTAACCTTCCCTGAAGCCCTAAGCCCTGCAGGAGAACCCACGGCAGGTGCAGCTCAAGGCACAACTGTTCACAGCTGTGCCACCATGCACCCCCCTTTTCCCGCACTGCGGCCGTGCGCAAAATTCCGGTTCTTGGTTTGGCCGCTCTGAGATTTCGGACTGACCTGTGAACCTGCGCTTAAAGATTCTAGCCTTGAGTCGTGGCTGGCCGCATAGGCTTGAGGTGTTGAGAATTGGAGAGTGGCGCCAGCAAAAGTGAAGCTCCAGATAAACCCCAGGCCCTATGCCTTAAGCGCTAGTTGTGAGAGTGCAAACCCCAAACCCTAAATCAAGAACCTTGCCTGCCTTGTGCGAGAGTGAGCGACTCAACCTGAAACCTTATATTTAAACCTTATAATTAAACCCTAATTAAACCCTATTTAAACCCTAATTAAACCCTAATTAGACCCTAATTAAACCCTAATTAAACCCTGAACCCTTTCAGAAAAAGGTGTGCGTGAAGCCGGGAGCTCCCTGGGTGGAGCTGGGGTCGTGCACGCTCGACGACGCCACGGCGCTCGAGGAGCGGGCCCGGGGTCATCGCAAGCTGAGTAGACCCTGAGCCCTAAACCCTGACTATCCTGAACCCTACACCCTAAACCCTGAAACCCTAAACCCTAGGGCAAAAAAACCCTAAACCCTAAACTTCATAGAGCAGAGAGTGGGAATGTCCTAGATGCAGGGGAGAGGACATTTTTCGGAGTCGCGTGTGAGAACGCGGGCAGCGCGGGGGGACTAAGCTATAAGCCCTAAACTGGGACTCCATTTACCTACAGTTTCATGGGCTATACCTACTAATCAAGGGGTAGTTCTTACGAATCTGTAGGTAAACAGGGTCAAGCTTCATGATGGTCCTGAAGTTCCTGGATGCAATAACCAGAGCACAGCTCCTCAGGCGAACCATGAAGTTCGCCCGCAACACAGCCCTGCGCACGGAGATTATAGTGTCCCCACTCTTGAATTTGTGTGTGGGGAGAGGGGGGAAATTTGGGGGTGGGGGGGGGGGGGGGGGGGGGTCTGGCAAGGTTTGACAGCTCAAGCCAGAGGCTTTCCACGCCAAAATCTCGCATCGCCCGAGTTTTGTTCACAGTTTCGGGCGACCGCACTAATCAGGAAGCAACATGGCAGTCGCTACAGAGTCGGTTTAGGGGTTTAGGCTGGGTTTAGGGCTTCAGGGGCAAAAAGAGTGCCCTGAGTGCAGTGCCCTGGCAGAGAGGCATCCATCAAGATCGAAAAGCCCATCCGCCTCCCGCCCATCTGGACTTCGGGAAGGTAAATTCTGGCACTGCTGTGTGTTCATGTCGGGTTTGGGGGGGGGGGGGGGGGGGGGGGGGGGGGGCAATTGTTGGCCCTTCTTGGCTGAACATCTCAATCTTCGCCGATTTTTAATCTGTACATATATGTATATACACATACGTATATATATATATATATCTGTATATGTATGTGTGTTTATATTGAAGAATCGAGACCCCAAAAAAGGGCTTCCAGTCTTGCACAAAGTCGGACATATTCAGACGGAATAGAAGGAGGAGCTCGGATCCATACAGAGATGGCCGTGAGTTAAACTTGCTACTTTGTCATAGTTGGGTACCATCTTGCATCTTTAAGGGGTTCCTTTGTGAAAACATTTAATTCTTCATATTATCCCAACTATGAACTAGGTTATAGTAGCACTTTACTTTTCGACCTGCGTCGAGGCTATGTGCGCTTGTCCCTGCGGGGCAATCTGGGCGGGCACTTCGGCATTGCTGTGCGGAAGGCCTTGGGATCCTCACTTGCGAGGGTTTCACGGAGCATTCACATCCCCTGGACATGCGAGTGTTGCTTCACTGTGCTGTCTGCAAACGTTTTCAACCCTGGCCTCGATATGCTTATGCTGATGCAGATGGTTTGTGGCTTGCATGGGTTCAGGCAGATGCAGTCACATGCACGAATGACTGTCGCGCGCACGCGACATGTATTCGCATGGCCTGCTGCGAAGAGGGACACACAGCTGCTTCGTGGATCATGGACCATGCAGCATGGAGAAGCATGTGACATACTGATGCCGCGAGTGCTCAGTGGCTTCATGGAGTGGCCAGCCGCTTAGCAGACCGGCAATCCCCCTCAACACGAGGGGATTTAGTTTTTAGGGCACAAGACATCCGATCTGTGCCACATCCTTTGTAGCAAGGCCTTCTGGCCGAGCATAGCCTAGCCATGTCATCCAGCCATGATGGGACGCCAACACCCACGACCATCCGGGTTCGCGATATGGTGCCCACGCCCATGTGGGGCAACGAGGTGCTTGCCCTGAAGACGAGGCATAGCTGCGAGTCCACGGATGGATCCTTCATTGTGGGCACCGAGGACCTGAGCAGCTTCGAGGGCGACGACTCCGACGAGAAGCTCCTGGCGCTTCTTGGTGACTTGGCTCTGGGCGCGGAGGAGACGGAAGACCCCACCGCACGGGCACTTCTAGACCAATGTGGAGCTCTTTGGGAGGAGGTGCATGTGGAGGCTGAGGCTCGCTGGGAGCTGCAGTGCCGGCTCCGGCGTGAGCTACAGCACCTCCAAGACCGCAGCCACTGGCAGCACGCGGAGTCCGGAGCCTTCCTACAGCGACTCTCGGTCGCCAGGGAGGCCTTAGCTGAGAAGATCCAGGAAGCGAGTAGCGAAAACCAGACGCTGCGACAACGGCTGCTTCGGCACCGGGCAGAGGAGGAGCAGCTGCAGTGCGGCCTTGCTCAAAACCTGCGGCACTTGTCGGCCCGCGCCGCCGAGCTGCGCGCTGCGGTCTGGGAAGTGGGGGTGGACCAGGCGGAGCTGGTGGAGAAGCTCCGCAGGCAGACAGAGCAACAGGCACTTTTGCAGACCGAGCTGCAGCAGGAGCGTGTGAAGACATGGCGCCAGTCCACTGATGTCGTCATGGCCTTTGCAGGTGGCAAGGAAAGTGGAAAGGAGCTGGAGCGCGAGGAGGCTGACAGAGTGCTCCTCGAGTCCCAGCTGGCGGAGGTGGCTTCCCGAGCTGCCGCAGTCGGCATCCCGCCACTCTGCGATGAGGAGCCGGAGGTGGCAGAGGCCGTGCTGGCGGCGGCCGATGTTGTCCCCTACGCAACGCTCCTGGGCCACCTGGACGGCGTCGAGGAGCTGCGCGCCGCGATGGAGGCGTTGGAGGGCAGCTGTGCGCAGGCCACAGCCCAGCAGAAGGAGGAAGAGGAGAAGCTGGAGACCGAGCAGCTCGAGCTTTCCAGGCTCACCACCGAGATGGCGGATGCCGAGGCCACAGTGAACGGCCAGGACTTGGATCAGGCCACTTCTTTGGTCTCCGTGCTTTGCGGTGAGCTTCAGAGTGAACAGGCCGTGCTCCGCGAGGAGCGCTCAGCGGCAGGCCGGCGGCGCGACCTCTTCCGTGCCCAGGTGGAGGAGAAGCGTCGGGAGCTGGCACGCCTGCGTGAAATGAACGACAGACTTGTTGAGGACTTGAATTCGAAAGGCTGCTTTAAGCACCGCAAGCCATAGAACTGCGCATACCCGGAAAACAGCGCTCGGCATCTGCACTTTCAGCTCCGCCGATTAGTCTTTGACGGACTCTGTGGACTTCAACTCTGACTAAACAATTAGGAGATACAGGGGCCCTCCATTGCGGCTAGACCCTTTCCATCGTTGCCGAACCAGTGTCCATAAACATGCCCACCCCCTGGAAAACAGGTGTCCTTCTACGGCTACCAGGTCCGCCAGGCCTTGCGCTGCACATCATCTGTACTGGTACTGTAGTGGTCCGGAGTTTTGATTTGATTTGACATGGGGGCTTCCGAAATAAGGTGTGCCTTTTTTTGGGGGTCCGCATTATAATAAGGGAGTCCTACTGTTTGGGGTCTATTTGGGGTCCCCTATTTTTTCGTGAACCCCCACATGCCTGCATCATTGCAACTCTGACGCGGTTGGGATACTCAGCCTGCACCAACTTTGACAGCTTGTTTCAGTTTCAGCTGCGCACCTCTCCCCCAACTAAGTTGGGCGTTATTCGGGAGACTCTGGAAAAGGACACATTAACTTTAAAGTAGTACATGGGTAGAAATAGCCCCCTATAGAGTTTAGAGCAGACAGGTCTACAACAACAAGGGGGCCATAGGGCGCCGCAGAATGGCCAGGTTCCTATCGGCCTGCAATTGGAGAGCCTGAAGTTCCTCCGCGGCAGCCGCCTGCACGTCCACGCGCAAGACATCCACCCCAAAGAGGCTCCGGGCAGGGTAGCAAGGCCCGAAAGCCACCCAGCCGTGGCTTCGAGGAAGCTACACTTTCAACAGCTCTTGAAGGTTAGAAGTAGTGTTGTTTATATGTCACTACAGCTTTATGCTCCCCATGAACCTTCAACAAGAGACCGCCCACCCTAAACTCTCCCTGTCGATGCCAGCTCCCTGTTCAGGTCGCCTCCCGCGTGCACAAGTGGCGCGGCTTTCGTGGAGGGTCAAGGGTGCTGGCGTCCCTAAGCCCTCAACCTAAACCCCAAACCCTAGACCCTGGGCATGGTCGATTGGTTTCTACAGGAAGTAGAACCGGCGACACCACAGTAGTCAGACAACGAACCCACGCACCTCTGAAGTAGTCCCCGCTGCGTGCGCGAGTGCTGGGCGGATGGCAGAAAAATCCCTAAACCCTAAAACCTAAACAACAGGCTTAAGTAGGCCATCTTAGCGAATCGACACAAGACCAGAAGCTAACAAGTTCTTTCAGTAAAGATCCAGGCCTTTAGGGCATTAGCAAACCCGGAAGCCTTCAAGGAGTCGACAGGGGTGGTCCATGTATGCCTGTGTCTGAAGTTCTCCCACGCGGATCTATGGAGCGCAAAGCCATGGATCTCATGCAAGAGCTTGGAGTGAAGAATGAACATGTCGAGTGAGAGGTTATGCATACAAGCAGTTTACGGGCAGTGTGTGCGGGGTTCGCATTGGCAGCTACGCTCAGCTGTGCTGGTAGCTTGCGGCTTGCTTGCCCGCTCGTACAGCTCTACCGCGCTTTTGGCGCAGAGTGCAGCGATGTCAGTGATGCAGGCAACAGCCCCTGCTTCTCCCTGCAGCCACCTTCGAACACAAATTTTGATCTGGTGCTGCTGTGTTTCCCGCAAGGTTGTACACATTTAGGTACCAGAGACCCGCTTGACGAGGACGGTTGCCCTGAGGAGTGCGCAAGCAAGTATGAAGTTCTTATAAGGTATACCTGAACCGCTAAACCCCCCAACCCTAAATCATACATTATGATGTCGACAGTGGCTACTTCTTTCCTACCCTGCAGCCCTGCAGTAACTGGTCTGCTAGTCTACAAGGCGGAGGGCAAAAGCACGCCGAATTCATCTTTGTCTATTCCAACGTGTGCGTGTATGTCTATCATATAAATTTATCTATTTATAGAAAAATGTATATGCACATAAATGTATGCACAGTTGCACATATTTAAACAATTTGTTTTTTGGCCCGAACCCTAGGTGGTGCGTCCACCCCTGAAGTCTTTGGAGTTGACACTAAATTAAACCCTTAAGCCCCGGACCAAAGCCACAAACAAAGAAAACAAAACAAGCCAACGAAGGCTACAGAAGAAGCACGCTAAAGCAACCCATTCAAAGTCATCGCGCATGGTGCTGAGGGTTGAGGCTTCAGGGCAGAGGGTCTATATGGGTGTCGGGAAACCCCTGATCTCAGGTCCCTGCAGAGCAGCCTCCGTGTAGGTCGACGGATTGAGGGCACTGGCGCCAAGCATCCCAGCTGCACGGTTCGGGGTCGAGAGCTTAGGTTGTGTTGGGTGAGCGTTGGAATTGGAGGTGTTATCCTGAGGCAGAAGGCGCCACTTGCAAACCAGTTGCCCGCAGCAATGCCCGCGGCTGTCGAGAAGTTAGATTCTTGCAGGCACCCCTCACGACAAGGTACCATACTTGCCATACTTGTTGGGACTTCAAGGGTTCAGGGTTTAGACTGGAAACCTGCCAGGACTAGGTGTCCACAGTGCTGCATTAGAACTTAGACGGTCTGGGTTTGGGGGCGAAGCTACTCAACTGCCTGCTATAGCACCTCCTTTCTTTTCGCCTCAGGTATCGGGTGTATGAGGACATCTGCTCGGGCTCACCTCACATCACCACTGCCGCAGAAAGCCCAAGGACGGCTCTGCTCAGTTTTTCAGGTTGGTTCGTTGTTTGTAAATTGGCGTTTCGCAAGGCTAGGGGCGCACAACCCGCCGCTGTAGGGTTTGTCCGACTTTTTCTGCTCGAACCTGTTGTCATTGCGCTACCATGTTGACCGTGAGCTCTGTCCTTTCGCAGGCTGAAATTCCCTCGTGGGGTTGTGCTGATTGGGGCCGTGCTCGGTCTACGCTATGTGCCCGGGGCTTAACTCGACCTAGACTTGTGCGTGTGGGGGTCGCCAATGTGGATCTGCTCACGCATGGCACCCCCAAAACGCACTCTGCGCCACAGAGCTTGCAGTCGATGGTCAGCGCCTCATGCTGGGCAGGTGCAACAAAGACTCTGAAAAAGGAAGCCCCCCTTTGCTGCCTGAAGCTGGTGTGGCTCTTTCCGGGAGCCGCGATTTTGTAAGCTGTATGGGGTTACTGAATCCTCGTTGAGCATCTCACTTCTTTTCATCTGGCTTTCTGCTGGCTCTGGCTTTCTGCTGGCTCGTGAAAAGTTGCCATTGGACAGCACGGCACCAGCAGCACTTGCAAAACCTCTTCACCCCCCCCCCCCCAGCACTCCAGAACTTTGAGAGAAAAGGTCGGAAGTGCCATCGAAGGAATCGGCACCTCCCAGAATGCGCATCCAGATCGTGAAGGCTTGCGTTGCGCATGGGAAAGGATTGAGGTTGAGAATGGGCAGGGGGGGGGGGGGGGGGCTTGCCACAAAAACAGTCCGCAACCCTTGTGAAAACCTTAAACCCCAAACCCTCAGGGCCCCTACAACATCTTAAGCTCAAGGCCCGCAAGCTCTTGAACTCTCGGAATCCTACAAAATCTTAATCCCCCGGAAGCTCTGAACACCTGAAACCCTTATAAAGTAAGTCCCGTGTAGTAGACCGTTCCAGGAATCCCATGCTGCCGGAGATCAGGAGAGGCGCCTGAAGAAGCCGCGAGCCCGAAGAATAGCAATCCAGGCTCACGAGAAGCTGAGGTTGAGGGCTTCGGTGTTGGGTTTAGGGTTTAGGGTTTTGGGTTTAGGGTTTAGGGTTTAGGGTGAAACCGGATGCAAAGAGTAGTTGTAAATTTCTGAAAACGAATTAAATTCGTTGACTCAAGCATTCAAGTTACATGAACAAATTTATTCAACGAACTAAGCGAACGAACTAGGATTCAAGGGGTTCCTGGGCGCGGTCGACAGGCCGATATCACTTGGAGGTTCGTGGTGCTTGTTATCCCAATGATTAGTTGCATTTATAACCCACTGATAAGCCCCTTAAGTGGTCCTAATGTCGTGATAGTTGGGCTAGAAGTACAGTTATGATTGGGCTAGCTAAGTACCAGGAACCTTCAAGTAGAGCTCATCCTTGGCCCTGCATTCAAGGTTGGACAGCCCAAACTCCTCCTCACCTGCAAATCCATCTTTAGAGGTCAGAAGCTTCAAAGTTGGAGAAATGGGATGTTCCCCCCCTTCTCTAACAGTCCTTAATAGGAGGTTTAATAGGGGGACTACGAAGTATAAGGAGCAACATCCTAAGGTTAAACCCCTGTATCCCCTCTGTGCTCTTCCGAGGACTCTGCTCTTCGCGACTGAGGACTTGCCACCACCGACCTGGAAAGCCGATGAGGCGTCCCGTGTCAAGAGGTTTCCGAAAATCAGGGCACCCCGAATCTAGACCCCCGAATAGTAACATTCCCTGAAAATAAAGACCCCGATACGGTGCCCCTAGTTTCGGAAACACCCGTGTAGCCTGGACATCGTTTTGCGGGGTAAAGTTCGGTTCAGGGTTGTAGTTCCCGTATTCAACACGGGTTCAAAGCGAAGCTTCCATCAGAGAGGACGCATGCATCCTGGAAAGTGCATGTAGCATCAGGAAGCAATTGCCCGGGCTGCACTGTGTACCTCGAATGGTCCTCTTGCTAAGAAAACCCTGTCATAGTCATGAGAGAGTCTGAGGCGACCGCATTGTACTTGTATGTGGTTCCCTGGATGCCCAATATGGTAGCCTTCTGTGTGAGACCTCTTAGGAACCGGCTTAAGGATCCCATTGCAACTCATGAGCCGCTGCTCCGGCTCTAGGAGTCGAAGCATGGCGCAAGTCACACCCGTCATCCCGGCAAAGCCCGGGCTCTCTGAAAACCCTGCAGAGACTATTCGTGTAGGGTGTAGGGTTTGTAGGGTCCGGCTTCAAAAACGGGTTCACAGCATCCGGCATGGACCTCAGTTCCGAATTCAAAAGGGTGTATTGACCACAAACTCTGCTCCCGGCAGGTGTTGGGCAACGGCGCCTTGGCCCGCATCAGGATGCGGGGATTCTCGGAAGCCTATGCGGGGGTGAGGAGAGGGGATCTGCACAAATCCTACACAAGGGTGAGGAGTCGTCCTCTGAACTCCCAGCTCCCCGACATCCGAAGCAGCTTCGGGCTGCAGCTCACTTGTGGGCAGCTTAGGGCTTAGGGTTTGTGGTTGGCCTACGGAACAAAGTAGATCCAGCTCGGTACGGCCTCCGACTCCATTGCAGGTTCGGGGCTCGAAAGGCGGTATATCGCCCAGCCTAACAAGGGGGGAGCGTCGCCTGTGTGCTTTATGCTACATCCAGGGCAGGCTGGTGTAGATACCGAAAGCATGCTCAAACCGAAGGCTACGTGGACTATCCCGTCATGTTCGCGACTGGCATCCGAGCCTTCGGAGACGACAAGCTGTTCCTGGAAGTGCTGTTTCAGAACTTCTCCGGCACGCTGCGCCCCCGATGCACATCTTGGGAGAGGGTTTGGAGGCCGAACCCTGCGGGGCCTAAACCCTGAATTGCCCTAAATGGCGATCGCTCTGAGTTCGGGTCCCTTTGTGGTGGTCATAGTAGGGTTCCTTCATCTTTCCGTGCATATTCTTTCTGGGCCACCGTCATCTTTTTGAGACACTGACAACCAAAGCGCGAAGCTGGAGCTTAACTTTCTGGTGCCCCGGGCCTCAACCCTCCTTAAGACTGCTTTCAAGCAGGTTCTTTGAACCGCGTGAGAGCCATGCCTCAAAGAAGGCACCCTTCCACGCCCTACTTGGAGGTTCATGGTACTTGTCGCCCGGTTATAAGGACAGCTATTGGGTTATGAAGCACCATGAACCATAACCCGGTGATAAGTACAGTTCTTGAAAAACCTCCAACCCTAAACCCTGAACCCTCAACCTTTGAACCCCCTAAACCCGAAACCCTTACTAAACCCTGACCCATCTTATGCTGTTGAAGGCACGTGCCCGCCGACCTGGGTCTCTCGTTTTACTACGTGCCGGAGCTGCAGTCGCCCAGCACGTCAGAGGATGAAGGCCCATCTTCGTACTTCGGAAACGAGATCCGAAGAAAGACTGGCTGTGAGTTAGAGTTTAGGGTCTAGGGTTCAGGGTTCAGGGTTTAGGGTTTATGTGGTTTTTTGAGTATTTGTTACGCTTTTACGGGACTTCGGGGCTTCCGGACTGACCTGGACCCCGGGGCCACGCTGTGCGTTGAGGGTTCGCTTTGTTGTATGTCCGGGGTGGAATGAATGCATTGTGGCGTGCGATATAGCCCTGCAGCTGCATGTGTCCCAGAATGCTTTGTGAGGGAAGAGAAAATCTTTGAGATTACGTGCTGCACCCGCACCCATGCCTGCAATGCTGCGTGCTTGTTCCAGGGGAGGTGGCAGCTTCCACAGCAACGCAGCCGGTGAAGCAGCGCCAGGAGGCAGAGTTGAGCAACCGGGGGAGCGAGCCGAAGGCTGTTAATTACAACTGGACAGAGGTACTATATCCCCCTTGGGAATAATTTTTTTGTTTTTCTAAAACCCAAGAGGGTATTAAAAATATTATTTTTGTTATGGTTCAAAGGGGAGTATAGGGTAGAGCTTGGAGTCTGGTGTGTCCCAGAAAAACCAGGCTGCAGCACTCCTCCTGGGTGTTGACAGGTTTGTCCACGTAGTCCTGCATGGCTCTGAAAGCCCTGGAATGATAGATAGCCCAGAAGAAGCACTGCCGTAGAATGCACAGGTGTGAGTCCGGGTCTGCAACGAAAGGGTGTGCTTTGCCTATCGTTCCAGGCACGGGAGGAGCAGGAGAAAGCCGAAGAATCCTGGCGCATCAAGTAGTGTTGACGTGTATTCGCTGAGCTGCTTTGGTGACACACACAGAGACACACTCCCTCTCCCTCTAGCTCACTAACTCTCCAACTCTCTCTCTCGCTCTCCCTCCCTCCTACTCTGCCTCTCCAGAATATGCAGGCACTCACATTGATCGTTGCTTGCAGAGAATGCATTCGAGCCTGCGTTTCAGGCTGCTTGCAGAGATTGCGCGACAGTTCTCGCTCCCATGCGACCAAGCCCGCGAATCTTTTCGTTGTCAGAACTGCAGCTTCCCACCCTAAGGAAGGGGCCGCATCCGTTGCACCGTCGGCCATGGAGGCTTGCACCACTAACCCGTGCTAAGTTGTTCTCACTTAGCATGGGCATGACTTGTTCAGCCAATCCAACAGATTACACGGTTCGCGTCGCAGCTGTGCCCCCATGCCAGGGTTTAGGGTTTAGGGTTGGTATGCATGGAGTCCAGTTGCAAAAGGGTTGGTGTTCAACTCAAAGCTGGACGCACAGCCTCTTCATCTCTCGGCTTTTGAACAACATGTGCCACATTCTCCACAGCACAACTTGCACTGCATGCGTGGTGATCAATAATCGTAGGTTTCGATGCAGGTACGTTTTCACAGAATGGAGCATGAGGATGAGGGTGGCCGAGGACCTTCATCACGTGACATCCGCTCGCCTCCGCAATCCTCCGCACAAACTTGCAAGCCTGCAAGAAAAGCGTTTCAGAAAGAGCCTGTGTTATCCGGTGTTCACATACACACACTTGTTCCATATAGGAGTAGTAAGAAAACGAAAGCTGGGAATGTCAGCACGTGGTTCCTAAGTTCCCTGTGAGGGAGAGGTAAACAGTAGGTTTGGATTGGCAGTTGAAACACACGCGCACACACACACACACACACCCAGGCTGGGCAAAGGAATGCTTTACTCTGTCTTACTCTTCCCCTGATATTTTAAACAAAACATGCGTGATAGACTGCACTGTCGGTGCACAGAAGCAGCCATAGCCCCGGAGACACACTGGCTGACCTCCGAATCGTTAGTTAAACATGCGCCATCGCTCCACTGCTTGCTAGCAAAAAATGCTGACATGACCTTCAGCTCACTGCTGCATGCACAGTCTTTTCATCTCTCGGCTTTCTTGCACATGAGTTTCACACCAGCCTTCAACTGCGCAATCGTACTACGCATGGGTGACACCTGCTCGGCAAAAATGCTTGTCCCCCTGCCAAGACGAGACGTTTCAGAAACAGCCTTTGCGATCAGGTGTGTCACTCACACCACATGCCACACACATACACAACACACACACACACACACACACACACACACACACACACACACACCCACGCACGCACGCACGCACGCACGCACGCACGCACGCACGCACGCACGCACGCACGCACGCACGGCACGCACCGCACGCACCGCACGCACGGCACGCACCGCACGCACCGCACGCACCGCACGCACCGCACGCACCGCACACGCACCGCACACGCACCGCACGCACCGCACGCACAACACGCACAACACGCACAACACGCACAACACGCACAACACGCACACACAGACACAGAGGTGGGCTCGTCGCAGTCTCGAAACCAACGATATTTGCAGCAATGTCGAGTAATCATGTAACTAATTAGTAGTGATAGTACTAGCCATGGAAATGGGAATTATAGTACTATGAATATACATATGATGTAACAGATATCCGGCATCATGCTCCTATGTGTCGAATCTGCAACATCCTCTTCACTTTCAAAGGCCTCGCAGAGCCACGCCCTGCAGCTAGACGAGGATGAGGAATTCTGGGCTCAGGCAGGGATGCTTAGGGTTTAGGGTTTAGGGTTTAGGGTTTCCCAGTCCGTGCTCAAAACAAGGGCTTTGACGGCAAAAAGGGGATTACAGCACGGCTTTCAGATCCACGCTGCCGCCTTAAACTTCTGGATCTCAAAGCCTTTCGTCAACGTTTGCCAATTGTCAAAATCATGCCAAAACGCACGCTAAATCGACTCCGCTCCGTGTGGCGGCTTGAGGTTCAGGGGCTTTTTGTTTCCAGAAGCTGCTGCTAACCAAATCACCTAGTCTGACTCGAGGTTTCTTTTGGCAAGCGGATGTTTCTGTGCAGAGGAGAGCGATGCTGGCGAGGGCTTTGAGGAGGAGCTCCCCAGATTCAGTACGCTCCCTGAAGAAGCTGCACCCCTCCTATTCTGAACGCTGTGAGACTTGAATCGTGGGGCCAACGCTGCCGCTTGACTCACTGCGCTCATTGCAGCAAGGATCGCCCTACTTGAACACTAGGGAGGGTTCGGATCATGTGGTTTTTGAGGTGCGCGATCGGATTCCTGACGTTTTCCAAATCTGATTTAGGGTGTTTAGGATTTCGGGTTTAGGCACCTGAAAAGGCATGTGCATACAGCGGTGCTCCCAACTTGCCCCACGCATGCCTTGCATATTTGGAGTACGTACCTCCTCCAGACAGCCTCCTCTTGTGCCACACATGGCCATGAGACCCCAAACGGGGGCTTCACAACGAAGTGCACATGACTGGCAGACGCCCTTTTGCCTCATGAAACCTCTGGACCATCCCGCGACTTTGACCCCCGAAACCATCACTGGGTGAGGGTTTAGGTTTTAGGTTCTAGGGTTCCAGGGGGTTTACGGTTCGAAGTGCAACTGCGAAGCTTCCCTCAAGATTTTGCACAGGAGCTTCAAAATGATTTGGACAAGAAGGCCTATGCTGGCGGGTCTAGGGTTCTGGGGCAGCTGGTCCGATCTTGCCGAACGCTTTTGGGACGCTCCAAGCTTAACTTTACCACTCGTACGGGGCTGCGCCCTGGGATAGACTGTGCATTTGATTGTAGATTCTCAGTGGCCCGTGTCGTCGCTACTTCCTTATTTTCCGTGGAGGCACGGAAGGATCGGCAGCAGCCTTGTGTTTGTACCGATAGGATCTGCCGCATCTCGGTGTGTTTTCCCTAGAATCGAAGTGAAGTACCAAGAAGCAAATGCAGATTCAAGTCCAGGGGTGCCTGCGTTGCACATGACCTCGTACATTGCCTCTCCTGAGCGTCTCCCAACCGCTCGAGCAGCAAGCACCGACGCCCAGAGGTGGACCAAACTTTGTTCGGCTTCAGTGGTCTACCGACCCGACCTCAGGCGAAAGTTGTGCTCTGAAGGGATCAGATTTACGTAGGTTCCGCACTGGTTGTTCAGCAAATCTCACGGCGGGAGTCCCCTCCTTCCTACAACACTCCACCTTAAACCCTGCTCAAGCCATTTTGGCCGAACTTCCTTGAGCCCTCTTGTAAGAGGTTTTAAGGACACCGGGACCAGGCCGTGTCCAGGGCTCATGGCGCCGTACCGAGCAACAATGCTGGCAATCTCGGTGCTGACCTGTGTCAGAAGTGTAGACGGCACATGGTGCTCGTCTGCAGATTCAAGCAGCTGTTTGGGAAAGCCTCTGTTCCTCTCCAAGCTTCCGACTTACCTGGGACCTTTCGGTATGGGCTTTGCTGCTCCCACTGCGCTGGATTGGTATGGGAACAGCACCCAGGGACTTCTGGTGGGAGTCGGCGATGTGCACATGCACACTGGACTGCGGTACTTTGAGCGCGAAGAGAACGGAAGCTTTGTGGAGCGCACGGGATTCCGCAATCCTTTCGCTGGAATCGACCTGTCCTCTCACGTACTTGTGGCCCCAAGGGCTGTGGACTGGAACGCGGATGGTAGGATGGACCTCTTACTGGCACATCCTTCGGGACATGTTCGTCTCTTCCTGCAAGACGAAGAGGGCGCGCCTCAGGAGACTTGGTCCAGCTTCCTGGCTTCCATCCGCGTGGCCAGGTGTTTCGCTCTGCCGTTTCCTGTAGATTGGGACGGAGATGGGCAGCTCGACTTGCTGGTAGGAGACTGTTTGGGTCACATCCTCTATTTTCAGGGTGTTGACGGAAGTTTCATCCAGAGAACTGGTCCGGAAAACCCGTTTTCGGCCATCTCAATCGGCTCCAATGCCATCGTGTATCCCTGTGCTGTTGATCTGGACCATGACGGAGATCTCGACTTGGTGGTAAACAGCGTGAGATCCATGCAGCTGAGTTTTTTTCGCCGCACTGCAGACGGAGGCTTGCTGGAGGTAAGCGGGGAGGCAAACCCCTTTGCTACAGTTTGGGGACGCTACCCGAGCAGCATTGACTTGGACGGCGATGGCACGTTGGAGATCATGCTAAACAGTGAAGAGGGGGTCAGGTTTTATCAGCACACGGCCGACGACCACACGCTGGTAGAGAGGTCACGCTACATGTATCCTTTCTCCTCCGTGCAGAGGCAAAAGGTCGAAATAGTCGGTCTCGAGGCCACCAGCACTGGGGCACTTCACCTGTTTGCCATATCAGGTGGCTGGCTAAAGACTTTCGAAGGCAGATTGGACACCCCCTTCCAGGAGCGCATAGGTGTCAAAAAACATTTGAGAAGCATCAAGAGGAAAATTGAGAACATCACAACATTTGCTAAACATCAACAAAAAGTTGCAAACAATGAGCTTGCTAAAACATCAAGTTGCTACAATGAGCTAGCTTCCTCCCCGGTACCCTGGTCTTCTGGTCTGTGGGATGCTTCCGGACCCTAAACCCTAAACCCTGGTCCCTGCTGTTTTGGTCCTCTGGTTTGCTGGGTCCCTCTGGTTCCGTGGTCCTCTGGTGTCGTGGTCATGTGGTCCGGATACTCATTCTTGAAAGAAATCTTAATATTAAGGGTCTTAGTACTAGTAATAGTGGTCTGAGCAGAAGGCTGCGACGCCCCGTGCAATCCTTCCTGCAGAATCCGAAGACGTGCTCCAAAAGCATATGCATCCTTTCCAAACCCCATCGAGCATGGTGTTTGCAAAGGGCCTACTCCCCACCCCCCCGCTTGTTTCAGGAATGGACCCAGTTCTAAGCTGTGCAACGCTTGCTGCAAAACCCATCTGGGTCCTTCCAAGCCCAATCATGCGAGCATCGTGTTTGCAACTCGGGCCGCTTGAAGCGGGCAGCCTTTGGATAACATGCTGGAATTTACATGCCGTGGAAGAGTGAGAAATGTTGTAATCAACAGGTTTTGGAGCCCTGCGCCCTGGAACACGCAGGAATGCTGTAATTTTCAAGGTTTAGAGCCAGAAATTGAAATGATATTTCTCAGCATATAGAGCGCGTGAAGCTGCATTTCGTAATTTTTAATTGCTTACTCAATTGTTCTTGATGTCTATCTTTTTTTCTTGATGGGGCCTAGGGCAGATGTTTTGCTGTCTGATGTCTTTAAGTCTCTTTGATGTTTCGCCCATGTGCGAGGAGTTGGTGGGACCTTCCAACCCCACGAGGCACATGTACCTCCCTGCAGCATCAGCAGTTTCTCGCGTGGACTGGGATCAAGACGGCTGTCTTGATCTGCTGGTTGGGCAAAACAGAAATGTCCGACTCTATCGGGGAATCGCGTGTGGAGTTTCGGGGGATCACCTCTGGAAGGCTTTTGAAGAAGTTGCCGACAGCCCTTTTGCAGGCATTCATGCCGGCAGGGGCGACGCCTACCCTGTTGCCACTGACTGGAACCGCGACGGCCACCTTGACCTGATCTTGGGAGAAGGTTCAGGCAACATCCACTACTTTGAGGGCACGGCCAACGGAAGCCTCGTGGAACGCACGGGAGGGCAGAATCCCTTTGCTATGATTCATGTGAAGCGCTACAGCTCCTTCAGCGTGACGGATTGGGATGGAGATGGGGAGCTGGATTTGATCGTAGGACGATGGACCGGCCAGCTTCGTTTTTTCAAGGGCACCGCGGGACGTATCAAGGAGCTCACTGGTTCAGACAATCCCTTTGCGAAGATCAGCGTGGGCAGACGTCCTGATCCTTTTGCTGTCGACCTCGACGGCGATGGGCGGCCTGATCTGGTAGTGAAAAACAACGCAGGGCGGCTTTACTTTTATGAACGTGGCAGTTGCAAGGTGCATTACGGCTGTGGTCGCGAGCAGCAGGAAGTAAAGGGCTTCTGTCAGGCATCGGGCCAATGTTCCTGCAAGAATGGGTACGGAGGGCCGGACTGCACCCAGTGCGAAGATCTCTACTTCTCCGTTCGCGGCGAGAAATCGCTGAGCTCCATGTGCATGGCCTGCCCAGGCCTGGTGAGCAATAAGGTGTGCAGGCGACGAGGGCGCTGCCTGGATGACCAGGTCTTGAGAAATGTCACTGCTATGGCCATGGAGGACGCAAGGGCTCTGTATGGCCTTGAGCTGGGAAACGTTCAGCCCGGAGAGTGTATTTGCAGTGCGCCTTTCTCTGGCCCAGATTGTGGAGAAGGCAGCTGTCCAGCTGGACATGCTCTGAAGCTGGACCTGCAAAGCCCCAACAGCACAACCTTGTACCCATTGTGGGAGGCCTGCTTCCCGTGCGGGCAAGGCCGTTTTAAAGATCTGCCGGGCAACGAGCCTGACTGCGTGAAATGCCCCGTCGGCAAGTATCAAGACCAGGAGGGCAGTGCGGAGTGTAAGTTGTGTCCTGCCGGCAAGTACCAGACTGAGGTCGGATCTTCTGTATGCGTATTGTGCCCGCCGGGCAAGCATTCCCCTGAGGGGGCCTTCTCGTGTTCGACATGTTTTGGTTGCAGCTGGTGGCATTGGCCGCTGACAACGTTTGGTTGCTGCCTGATGCTTGTGCTGATCTCTTTTACGACGCATCGATGCCTGCACTACGTGAGGAAGAGGCGTGCTTCACAAGTTGCAGAGTGCCTCCTTGCTGAAGTCCGCGAGGCGAAGAGCAGAGGCTTGACAGGTGACAATGTTGTTGGTGAGTTGGCACCGACTTGGGCAAAGGCTCAAGGCCAGGGCTTCACTGCAGTGTGCCAAGCTGTCTTAGACGTCTTCGTCGTGACGTTGCAGAGCTGTCACGAGGACCTTCCCACCGTCCGCACGATCAAAAGAAGTGCTGAGAAGTGGGCCTGGCAAGATGCTGCGCGCGCAGCTGAAGATCTGCTACTTGCGGCTCGACGGGAATCCGAAATGCGAGGTATTGCGCTCGAGTACATCCTGCAAAACTTCGAAAGTGAGGTTGCCAGGAAAGTTGTGCAGCGGGAATGGCGGCAAGTTGATGGCCAGGTTTGCACTTTGGACACCTGCATCATGAGATACGAGGGCACTCGTGATGTGCCTCCGGCTGAATGGGTCTCAGCCCCCACTGCAGCGCCACCTGCAGATCCCACATTCACGCAAATGGCACCAGTGCTTGCCTTTGGCGAGCTGAGTGCTGGATATGGGCAGTTGTGTCCTCGAGATGGGGAAGTCCATTGCAGCTTTGTGGACGGTGTTCATCGACAAGGTTCGAGCTTCCAAGCGAACCGCTTCCTGTCGTGGGTGTGGGGTTACAATCTATCTACTGCCTGTGCTGCCTTGAGATCATGGCATGATGACCAGAGGAGAGTCAACCCAGCTTTCCGGCCAGAGACGATTGCAATTTGGTGGTGTTTCTTCTGTAACAATCAGTTTCGTTTTCTCCAGGATCAGAAAAGGCAGACTACTGCAGATCTTTCCGTCGTGTTCGGGGATCGCTTGAAGGCTGTTGGAAGGATGCTCATCCTGATGAATGACTTGCTGCAGCCGGATTACGTGAAGCGTATTTGGTGCGTGTTTGAGGTATTCGTAGCGTCCACAAATGACATCCCGATTTCTGTTTTGCTGCCTGAGGCAGCGGTGGGGCGGCATGCTTTGGTGTCCATCGATCAGCTCAAGGCTACATGCAAGGTGAACGCGGAGAATGCCACTGCCACCTTCAAAGACGACGAAGATGGCATTAAAGATCTAATTCGAGGTGAGCACGGCTCTTTTGCTTATGTAAACACAGTCGTGGAGCGTGCTCTTCTGTTTGAGGTCGTGCAAATGACACGATAAGTGGAGGTCTCCCTTCGAGCCGACCTGTCAAACTTCATTTTTCAGAAGCAGTCAATAGAGCTGCGCGAACGGCGGCCGTGCTCAGCACTGCCGAAAGCCTGCAACCCAGGGTGGATAGTTGAGCCATTCAAAGACCAACCGTGTCATATACTTAGGGGTACTTGGAAATAGTTTTTCATGTTGGGGCACTAGAATTCCGAAGAAACAGTTCAAGTTCAGCATAGTGTAGATGTCCCCATTTCAGCTTCTCCCAGGTTCCTGAGCCAAGAGGAGGGCGACGCCTACCGACCCAGCGATGTCAAGGGTCCGGGCCACGAGTGGTGGAAGGCCGGCGAGGAGGCGAAGCCCACGGAGGCCTGCCACGCAGGAAGTCACTATACTATCAATTGCTTAGGGACCCCCCGAAATGCAAAAAATCTTCCTTATAAGGATGATATAGGGATTCTATTTTTCATTTTTGGGGGTTCTTAAGCAAATAGTAGTATAGCTGACGGGCACTGAGCGCATAGACCTCCCTGAGCCTAGAAATCTCGGCATCGCACTTGTACTCATGTAGCCCCCTGTGGTGAAGGAGCAAGGCATAACTCAAGCTAAATAGGATATAGGGTTTAGGGTTTAGGGTTTAGGGTTTAGGGTTTAGGGTTGAGCAGACAGAGGTCGAGGAGGCAGCGGATGCGAACATGGTGGCTTGGCGAAGAAAAGCCTGCTAACTGTTAGAGGCCTTGACCCACCACCGTCTCCTTCTCATAGGAATTTTCCCTTGGGCCTGTGGACGAAAGGGAGCCTTAAACTGCAGAATTCATTATAGTAGACTTAGTGAAGAGAGCATAATCTCCAGCTTTGGTGCCCTTGTTGGTACCAAAGAGATTGCCTTTGGCATGCAAACCGAACAGTTTCCCTTCGGGGCCCCAGGCCATCGCTTCAGCAAAGAGGCTGGCGACTGGAGGCGGCAGGAGACACCAGGCGAACGCTGAGCATATACATGTATACATATATATATATATATACATATATATATATATATGGTACCCCCCCTCCTGGAGAATCTACCTCTAGAGGTTGGGAGTTTAAGATTATATATATATATATATGCTAACCCCCCCCCCCCCCCCGGGTTATCCACGCTTGTGGTTGCGAGCCAATTAAATCGTTCAGGGCCGCGGTGACCCCTGAACTCCGCCCCCCCCACAAAAAAAAAAAAAAAAAAAACAATCCTCTACATAACGCAAATGTATGCAATCCTTGAGATGCTGAGTCCTCTCCATCTGTCCAAACACTGGGCACAGCGACCTCCTCCCCTCCCTTCCGCTCCGCTACGCTCTCTGGTTTTTGTAAATGCTTTTTCTTTCAGGGCTTATCCTGAAAACCCTATCGGTTAAGGTTTAAGTCTTGTAAAAAGAGACGCCCCGAAACCCTATAGGGTTTAAGGCTTAAAGCCGATAGGGTTTAGCGTTAAACCTGGAAACCTGAACCTTTAGATCCATAGGGTTTCAAGGTTAAGCAATCACACCTAAACCTTTACATCCTATAGGGTTAATAGGTTTGAAGACTTAAGATCTAGGTATTTAAACCTAAGCCCATGGAGTTTAACCCGTAAGCGTTTACGATTTAGGCATCTAAACCTGAACCCTTTAGGGTCAAGACCCGGAAAGCCTATAGGGCTCTAACAGCCTCAAAAGTTTTAACCCCATAGGCGATGAAGGTATACGTGCCCAGACCTTAGGTTTTTAAGCCTTTAAACCCATAAAGTCTAAAGGTGTAGGGATTTTCAAGGTTTATCTCTAAAGCCCTCACGGGGTTAGCCCTATAGGGTTTGAACCCTCTAGGCCTAGAGGGTTCAACAGTTTAGGGCTTAAGGTTTAGACATTGCCTATAGGATTAGAGCCTGAAAAACCCTATATGGCTACAGGCGTAAATCCTTAAACCTAAAATCCCATATGGTTATGCCTCTGTTTTTAGGGCTTGGTGGAAATGCAAAGAATAAGCAGGTATCGGGTTCAAAGGTTTAAGGGTCTTCAAGGTTTATAAGCCCATAGAGTTTAAACCATAAGGGCTTACGGTTTAGGCATTTAAATCTAAATCCTAAGCCCTTTAGGGTCAGAACCCTGAAAGCCTATGGGGCTCTAAAAGCCTCAAAAGTTTTAACCCTATAGGCACTGAAGGTATACATGCCCAGACCTTAGGTTTTTAAGCCTTTAAACCCCATAAAGTCTAAAGGTGTAGGGATTTTCAAGGTTTAGCTCTAGAGCCAGCACTATAGAGTTTAAACCCTATAGGCCTAGAGGGTTCAAAGGTTTACGGCGGAGGCATTACCTAAAGGATTAGAACCTTATAGCCCTGTGTACGACTCACCTTTACGTACTATTTGATGGTTCTGTTTCCCCTTTCAAAGTTTTAAGGATTTTAAAGAATTTAAAAGGAGCCTTCAATTCTTTAAAACCCTCAAACCCCTTAAGATTTTGAAAGGCCTCTGGCTTTCAAAATTGTAAGGATATTAAGGATTGTAAAAGGCCACTTAAATGCTTTAAAATCCGTAAAATCTTCAAAAACGTTAAATTATTTTGGGAAGGGCCCGGCCCATTTGAATTTTTTTAAAACCCTTAAATTCCTTAAATCCTTGAAATTTTGAGACAAAATTGCTATTTTGGGAAAAGGCCCGGCCCATTTAAATGTTCTAAAGCCCTTGAAATCCTTAAACTTGTCGAGACACACGGGCCGGTACAAGCCGGTACACAACGCTACAAGTTGTACCGGCCCCGCCCCTGGAACCAAGAACCAAGAACCAAGATTGCAGGGAGGTCTTGCCCTGCAATCTTGGTTCTTGGTTCTTGGTTCTCTGGGGCCGGTACAACTTGTACCGATTTGTACCGGTTTGTACCGGCCGTATGTTTCGACAACATAGAGACCGGTACAGACCGGTACAAATCGGTACAAGTTGTACCGGCCCCATGGAACCAAAAACCAAGAACCAAGATTGCAGGGCAAGACCTCCCCGCAATCTTGGTTCTTGGTTCTTGGTTCCAGGGGGCCGGGGCCGGTACAACTTGTACCGATTTGTACCGGTTTGTACCGGTCTCTACTGTTGCAATATAAACATATAGACAAGCAACCAGATATAAGGAAAGAAAGAGAATATAAATCAGCACGCTGGGACAAAGAAAACAAATCACGAACGACAAACAGAAATACGCAGTGCCCGAACAAGAAAAACACAAAAGAAGCAGAAAAGGCGTGGATAACTGGGGGGGGGGGGGGGGTACCATATATGTATATATATATATATATTGATATATATTGATATACTTGCACATTATGGAGACTCATACATTGCATAGTGCTTTCAACTTGATCTGCAAGCGCGGTTCGGACAGGGTTGGGTGGGAGTGCCACACTGGGGAGGTCTGCCAAACCTTTTCGGCTTTCAGGGCTTGCAGCTTGTGGTGGAAATAGCCATGTCTGAAGTTTGACAAAAGCTACGAGACCCATCTGAACGGGCAAAGCCTCAAACTGGCCAGTGGGGTAGAACGTTGGGCATGCCCATTTTGGGGGGTTGTGGGGGTTCACGGTGTATAGGGTTCAGGGCCCACTTTAAGAAGGCAGTTGTCGGCCAATCTTCGAGTTCACGCTCGAGTCGGAATGGTCAGATGACCACTCCCTTCAGGCACCTGCGCAAATGCAGCCGGTGCCGGTGGATGAGGAGAAGCCCCTCGCCAGCACAGCGAGAGGGGTCGCGGCACGGTGTATGCGAGGCATTTCGTAGTAGGTCATCCATCACCCAACCTCTTCGACACTCGATCTCCGTGTCTCTTTTCTCTCTTTGCTCCCTCTCCTCTCTCTCTCTCTCTCTCGTTTTGCTGTCTCTGTCTCTGTCTCCGTCTCCGTCTCTGTCTCTGTCTCTCTCTCGCTCCATATCGCCATTTTGCAATCACTACGTGTTTCCTTGCCAGCGGTCTTCCTTCTCTGCAGTCTTCTCTGGGCTCTCTGCCTTGGTCTCTCTGCCTCCCTCTCTGGTCACCACGGGTCCCCTCTCCTCTCCCTCACTCTACCCCGCTCGCTCCAAGGACGGATACAAACACAAAGAGCCGGAGCAAAGAGGCAACCCCATGGGATTTTTAGTTGGAGGTTCATGGTACTTAATAGCTCAACAAGACCTGCACTTAGAAATAATCCACTTGTAAGCCCCTGAACGGTTATTAAGTACCATGAACCTCCAAGTATTGTAAACCCAACCGCGGCTCCTCCGAAGCCCAGGAAAATAATTCGTGTCCCGTTACTGTCCTGAGCACCTCACCCTTCTTAGGTAGGATTAAGGGGGTCCGTAACAGGGGAACCCTTCTCAAACCTCTCTTCTGGCTCTCTTACACAGGGACGAGGTTCTATTTCCCCAAGGGTCCCCCTAACCTAAACCCTAAACCCTAAACCTAAACTTGGATTTGCCCGGAGCCTTGCTAGCGCGCCAGTGTGAGAGTCGAAACCCGAAACCCTAAACCGGGTGGTTTCAAATCCCGCGGACTAGCAGATACACGGTCGTGGGTCGAAGAACTAAGACCTGCTGATCGGCTTTTTACAGGAGTAGTACCAAACCATCAACCCTGCCTGCGGTTCGGCCAGCTATGCCGGAGCGAAAAAGAAAAACCTAAAGCCTAAACCCTAGAACCCTAAACCCTAGACCCTAGACCCTAAACCAAAACCATCAATTTTCCTACGGATCTCGCGGCAGGTGTCAAGCTTCGCCGTGACAAAGGCCATGAACGTGGCAGCAGAACTCAGGCCAGGCCAGCCCCAAGCCCAGGGCGCTGCCGCAGCCCAACTAAGGGTTTAGGGTTTAGAGTTTAGGGTTTAGGGTTTAGGGTTTAGGGTTTAGGGTACGCCCTGACTTCTGGATCTCACAACCTTGTAGGTTTGAAGTGTTTCGGCTTTGAAGGGTCTAGGGCAACAGGGGGTTTGGAGGGGTTTAAGGTGGAGTGCCTAGCTCCGGACTCCGAGACAGCCTTCTTTGT